CAGTTCAACCTTCGCTCCTTTTGTTCAGGTTTCATGATCGGTGATTGAATTCCTCGACTTTTCTGCCAACCCATTGCATGCAGCTCAGTTCTAATTGTCTCCTTACAGACAGCCACAGTTCCTCAATCAATCATATCCAGCCTTAAGTTTTCTAAACTCCTTCGTTTGTTTTTAGAAACAAGAATACCAAGCCGCCTCCTGTCACCGACAGTCAGGCCTACCTGCGCCTCCCTGGTGCTCAATGCCATATCCATTTGCAATATTTTTCAAAACACGCTAAACAGTGGACAACGGGATGCCTGTTCTACTTGAAATCACTTTAGCTGATCTGATGTCCTTGTTATGATACTCTAAAATCAACTTCCTCTTCTCTAAATCATCCATACTGAGGATCACTGAAAATGTCATCTCCTAGCAAGTAAACAAAGGGGGATAACTCTTCACAAACTAGTGAAAAAGGATAAACAGAGTTGTCTCTCTTGAATGAAACCAAGCACTTGATAGCTGGTCAAAGTTGTTTATACTAGAAATCCAATTAAACATATTCCTAAAATTCTCAATAATGTCTGGTCATACTATATTTTGAGAGCAAGCAGGGATACCAGCTAAGGGTAGCATATCTTGATATTCCTATGGCTGGACAATTTGATCTCACAAAATAATTCCAAAGTTATTTATATTCTCCAAAATTCAAATGTTGTGTCTGCACTATATGTGGAAGTTTAATTGATGTCGCATATATATATCGTATCAAGCAGAATAAGTCATCAATATCCTCCGCAATGGCAAAATACTCTTCATGTATATGTCAGTTAGTTACGACTATGTCAAATGTTTTGGTGTGTATATAGCAGTGAGTGAGTTTAGTTTTATGCCACACTCGGCAATATTCCAGCGGTCTGTTAATAATAGAATCTGGACCAGATAACCCAGTGATCAACAGCATGAGCATCGATCTACACAAATGGGATGCAATGATATGTGTCAACCAAGTCTGTGACTATGGTCAATTGAAAGGTTTTTTAAGTTCTGCTCCTGAAAAGAGCTCTACCACCAATTTCAGTCAAAGTCAAACTTGTTGCCATGGAAACACAAAATATGTTTTATTCAGAAATCCAAAACTACTAAAAGGCACCAGTATATCACCAGACGTATCTATGTGCCAAGTTTGGTGAAGAAATATTCAACGGTTTTAAAGTTCTGTTCTGGACAAGATGACATCCTCATAGCCACAGCCTCCATGGAAAGTCACATTTCCAATCAAACCGCAAAAATAAAATTCATATCTGGGTCTAAACCCCAAAAGGCACATCTATAGATCATACTTGACATATGTACTAACTTTGATGAAGCTTGCATGTATACTTTGGAAGATCTGCTCCGGACAAGATGACATCCTCATAACATCCTCATAGTCACAGCCTAAGTCATGTTTCCATGGAAACAGCAGAAAATAAAATTCATATCGGGGTCTAACCCCCAAAAGGCACATCTAGGGATCATGGTTGACATGTGTACCAAGTTTAGTTAAGCTATCACGAATAGTTTAGGAGATATCCTTCGGACAAAGCGTGAGGGACGTTCTTGTGGGACTTGTTCAGTCTGTGTTGTATAAAGATACACATTCAATATATTTACTGATGGTGTTTATGTTCTTGCACAGATGTAGAAAGACTGTATCTATCAACACCTGGGTGAGTAGTTGTGTGACTTAGTTGGGATGGAAGCCTCATAAAACAACGTTCCTGTCACATCAAGACATGTTTTGTTTGTTTGTATTTTTAAACCTGCACTCAAACATATTCCTCCAAAATGACAGCGGTCTGTAAATAATCGCCCCTGGACAAGGCGGCCTAGGGTCCAGAGTTCCTAAATGTGGTATGTGTTAGTTCTACCAAATGACAAGGAGGAGAAAAATGTGGAAAGGAGATATATTTTCTAGCTCAATGTCTTCAGCAGAAAGGAAATCCTATTCATAGAGGTGGAATAAGATAAGATTTCTCATTGCTCAGATCTCCATTTAGAGGATTAAAACACAGTAGTTGGATGAAGGATGCGATTCATTAGCATATAGTTTTGTGATATTTTGTAAAAATAATTCATACCGCGATGTTGATGGCTCATCAGCCTCGACGTAAAGACTAACAACATGAGATGTTCGAAAAGACACAAGACAAAGTCTCTGACATTAATTGTGGACAAAATCAAGTAGATGAAGGTTGCTTTTGCAAGTTCTACCGTATACGATGGAGCTGTAATCTATATTTTGAGCGGATCAGTGATCTATATAAGTGTAGGAAGGTAGTCTAGTCCCTTCCCCATTTTGAATTGAAACAACTCGAGTCAACAAATCGAGTGCCTTCGGGCATTTAGCTTTAAGGTATATACTACGTGGCAAGAAAGTTAAAATGAGAGTAAGAATTCAGAAGAAATTGGCTTCATTTACAACTTTGTCTGGTGTTCCATTTAAACACAGTTCTGGGTTTTTGTGCGGTCTTATTTTTTTCTGCAGAAATGTATACAATTATTTTTTAAAGTGGGTGCCATTTGAAAATAGCTTACATTTATAAACACACGTACTCTGGGCAAGGTGCCTTGTATACTGACTAAAGATTCTTGGATCTTGAGATCCCCTTCTCAATGTGTGTCTCCTGTGGGGATACATAAGTCCCAACACTTTCAAAGCTAGTTTTAAACTTACCAGATTTTTAAAACGTAGTATTTTTGTTCTTTTAATGTTTGGCTAATTAGTTCCTACAATCGCCAGCTGCTGTAGGGATGATGTAAATCCAGCTAGGGTCCATGCAGGTAGCAAAAGTACTGTAAGTCCCCATGGTCCCTAGTATGGTGATCTACCTTCAGTTGTTGGCGATCTATAGCCTGGCTTTATATTGTATCGTCCTCTATAGTTAAAGTATTTTAGATTTAATTACTAGTTTTAAATACATATATATATATATATATTTATGTCTGTGATAGTCTAGTTCGTTTACTGTCCTTTTTTCGACAGATATTAAAAATTGATTACCTTGTTTTCATCGCTATATGACAATAATATTGCCTATGCGATGTAAAATTTTAACTCACTCACTCACTCAATGTATGTGAGTGTGTTTTGAGAAAATGCACGAAAGGCATATGTTTCCCATATAAATGCTTCATTAAACCTCTACATAAAGCAAATCTATCACGCGAGCATCATACTCTTCAGATACAACTTGATTTTATTATGATTTCTAAAGATGAAGTGACAAAACCTTTTCCACATCCATATTAAATATTTACTAAAAGCAGATTCGAATCCGATGTAAACAAGTGCAAAGGCACGGCTCATGACATGCTTGTTATGCTTGATATACTTGATATACTTGAAACGCATGTAAAAGAATACCACCTGCAGTGTACTGTGACCAGCTATCCATGCGCGACATCGAGTTCGTATTTGTATGTCGGATACACCTGATTGACCAAATGGATTCATATAACCTTCAAGGATGTTATAATATTAATATATTTTATCAACTGTGTTATCGCATGAGACATACGCTCAATGTTGAGCTCTGAATGTGCCTAGCGTTTGTGTTTAAGTCGCAAAAGGAACAAACCCTTTGATTGTTTTGACTAAACATGTTTATGACATGCACACAATGTCAGGATCTCAACACCCCCAAACTTCAACATGTTATGAACATTTATAAAAGCATTTTCAAATTTTTGGGAGGGTATGCGAGACTTTACTATAAAATAACTTTTTTATTGTTTCAAGAGCAGAATACGTGTTCTTTTAATGTTTGGCTAACTGAAGTGAGGAATTAAATCATCATGCAGTTAACAAAGGAACTGCCCCTATTGTCCCTATTGTCTATGGTAAGGTGTTTGCTTGCGATCCATAGTCTGTTATGATGTTATATCCTTCGAAATTCTTCACAGTGAGATCTTTGTTTATGATAGCATGCTAGTTATAATTCTAACTATGTGATTCTCCTGTTGATTAAGTGTCCACTGTTGACAGCTTTTTATAGTCTAAATGTATTCCTTATCAAAGAGTACACACACGAGTCCATGTATGGAGAGCATGTTTGGCCACTGGACTCCTGGAGCTCCACAACGCAGGGCTTGTAAGTCATGTAGCGTAACCTTAGGCAAGTGACTTTGTTCAAAATTGAATTTGCTCACCCAGCAGTGAATGTGTATTTGTTGTTATTACTCGCCCGTGGAAGATACTGCAGTGTAATATTTTACAGCGATATTACACTAGTGTACCTTCTTGCAGCTTTGGCTATATTGCACAGTGACTCATTGACTGCGGTAAACACGTCAGTAAAAGAAGTACACACATTATTAGGATTATTATCATTACTAGTTTGTGAAAAACTATATGAAAAAAAACATTACAGGAAATGTAGACATTGATTTTCCGAACAAGGATAAAAGCCTTACGCCAATAATGAAATCCTTAAGCCATAGCCAAGTGGGTCTAATGTAATCCTCAGCGCAAACGCTGTGTGTCCGAGAACAAAATATATACTCATCATATATCATTTATTTTTGTGTGGTAACTTTCTTTCATTATATCTGTAGACAAGCACATGTGGGTATGACACTCTTCAGTATATATAAACACACGGATCTGCTGGGAATCACATTATCAGTTCCTATTTGATTGTCGGTCGTAGTTCTCTGCTTAGTAGTACATCACCAGACATTTCTTAACGTTATATCTACGAACAGACATTACAAACAGCTCCCTATTCAAGTGAGTGAGTGTAGCTATATGGCGGCGGTTTGTAAAAATCGAGTCTGGACTATCCAGTGATCAACAGCATGATCATCAATCTACGCAATTGGGATACGATGATATGTGTCAACCAAGTCAGCGAGCTTGACCAACTGATCCCGTTAGTCACCTCTTACGACAAGCATGGGTTACTGAAGATCAATTCTAACCCTGATCTTCAAGTACCAAATCCACAAAATAACATACTAAGCAAAACACAACAAAATATGAAAAGATTTCATTCCAGTTTGCCTACAACAAGCGCCACTGATGACACGTGGCCACCATTTCCATCAAAGTTCATGGTAATCGTGTTAGTTGCTTTGAGTTTATCAGCTGGTACCCAGAACTCCCATACTTCCCATTTAGTTGTTGACTGCACTTTGTCGGAGTCGAACAATGTGAAGGTTGAGGGTAGGGTATATCCATTGAACACGACAATGTGTGGTTTTCCGCTGGCATTTTTGTCACGACTGACGCCTACTCGAAGATGTGATGTATGATAACCTGAACTTGGTAAGGAGATGGTTGTCTGAGCATGGCCGTTGTTGATGGGAATGACCATGTCTTTTCCATAGTAGGTGTTCTCATTGTTGGTACGTAAACCATCAAAGTTGTAATTTGTTTTGAATTTATAAAAACAAGTTGCCTGACCCGGGAGACCTAGATTTCCATTGTACTTTGTAGTGTCAAAGTGGACATTGGTATGCATTTCTGTGTTTCCATTTTTGTACTGGATACATGTTGATTCTCCAGTTGTAAGGTTGATCCATCCACCGTGGAAGTCCAGCTTCACATTCTGCCAGGCAGTGCCATAGTTGTGGAGAAGAACTACCAACTCCTTTTTGTGAGGGTCGGCCAAAGCTAATGGCGAAACAGATCTCTCCCATCCTGTGTATGGGCTTGACACCTTGAGAAACTTCTGATCATAATGAAAGCTGTGCCAAAATTTGAAGAATTTGGCCATTGTAGTCTCGCGTCCATCTTTGGTAAATATGGACCAGTTAAGACTAGTTTGGCTACCGTACTGCTCATTCGAAAGCATAAAGATCACGGTCCTGTCGAGAAACTCTCTCAGATTGAGGAAGGTAAACATGAAACCGCTAGGTAGGTAAGTTGTAGCAAAGTCTATGATACTGTTGTGAAGGTTCAGATCAAGACCAGTCACGCCACCTCTTCCATATTCACTGATAACTAAAGGAACCTTTTTACCTTTTTTAAGATGAGAGTAATTTTCTATCATGTCTACACCACCTACCAGACGAGCTTCGTTAATGCCAGTGAAGCGAAACTTTCCGCCAGAGACATACAGATCGTTGTAGGCATGGAAGGAGAAAAAGTCCAGGTGGTCAAGAGACATGTCCAGAAAAACTGCTGTTTTATTCCACATACCAAAATTGTGGAGGTCGGATTTGACTATGCTATAACTGGTGTACGTTGGTCCTGCTACTTGCATTCCGAACCTGGACTTCAGCTTCTGACCAACAACCTTGTGGAAATCAATAATTGACTGCAGTCCAATGAAATTAGACACCTCTGGTTCATTGATGACTTCCAATATGTGAGGGATATGACCCCCGCTGTAGTCTTTAGCACTCTGGACCATAAGTGACACAAATTCACCCGCAGCATCGAGGTTGTTGGGGAATTTCCCTTCATGGTGAGATTTGTCCATCCAGTCAGGCCAGCTCAAACCTGTACAGAAGTGCATATTATCATAAGACGTCATTTTAAGCATTGTGTATACGGTATTGTGTTTACGAGCATTTACTGTCACCTTGTGACTCTTCCACGGAAGAATGTCCTCAGATAAGTTTGATTGTAACCGAGTGAGCGAGTGCGTGAGTCAGGTCTTTGCCCCGCTGTAAACAATATTCTAGTAATATCACGGCAGCGGACACCAGAAACAGGCTTCACACAGTGTACACATGTTGGCAATTGAACCCGGGTCTTCGGCCTGACGGAAAAACGCTTCAAAAACGGGGCTACTCCACTGCACCGAGCATGTGTATATATATTCAGCTGACCTATCACTGAACAGAAGAAGAAACTATCAATACACATACCTTTTAAGTCCCAAATAATGTTCTTAATTTCACTTCCATAGCCATGCACTTGTTCCATGTAGTAACTGAACATCTTTGATTGGAGGGCGTGGTTCTCTAGGTAGTGGGGATCCGGGTAACCATGGTGATGGGGATCCTGGGGCCACTGTGGAAACACCGCGGATCATAAAATTCTACTTCCAGCAAATATACGAAAGGCACCATCGGGTTATGGATAGCCAGTGACCAAATGTGCAGCGTTATTTGCCCTTATGTGCGTGTGTGTGCGTGCGTGCGTGCGTGTGCGTGCGTGTGTGAATCTCATGCAAATGCATTATCGCTTTACGTTGGCGAAGTGATATTTTACAGCTGCTGTGGTTGTGCACCCTGTAAATATATAGATGTGCTTGTCCCATTCCACAATGCATGATTTGTTTTGTTATGCCTACACCAAATGAAGGCCAAGTCTTATATCTTAAAGGAGATAAATGTTATACAGACATTTTGAAATACATTAAACAGTCACACAAAGTACACGTAATATCACTGCTAACTAAAGATCAACAAACAACTCTCCTGGTCCCAATACCAGGGCTTACACATTCAGTAGAGCGGCGATTGTGACCTCGCGGTTGTGACGTCATAGTGGGCACTTTCTATAGTTTACAGTGCGTTAATCTACACGAAAATAAGCAATATCCTCTATTTTTGGAGTGTGGATGTACTTGCTAATGTCCTTTTCACTTTATACCTACATTTCCAAAGAGATGATCATTCAAGTCCCTGTTCATCCATCGTCCGGTTGGGGATCCAACAGCTTTACAGTATGGAATAAGGTTTGCGCGGTCAAGCCCATTATGTTTGGTCCATCTGTCAGCTTCATAATGGACACGTCCACCCTGAGAGAGCCACTCGTTGTAGATGGTGACTGTAGCGTCTAGATACACTCCATTCCATAGCAAAGAGTTCAGGAAGACCAATATCAGTACCATGGTGATTAAAGGTGCAGGAAACGAGTATGGTGCTGTTTATATTGGATAGTAATCTGTATGCGAAGCGAGCACGTGGAATATAACCCGGTGAAGTTTTATCTAGTGTATATTTTGTCAAGGTAAAATACACTGGATACAGTTTGTTTGGGATAGGTTGATAACCGATTAATGAGACCAGACAAAAAAGTCTATGCGGTTATTTTATGGTTAGGTTCAATTTACAGATGATTTTAAATCTGCAGAGAAATAATCGCCTTTTGTTTTTTAATATATACTGTAAGCCATTAAAAACGCAATTTGACATTCATACTTTCTTTACTCACACCAATTTCAACATATATAAACCTAACTGGCAGATATGTTTTAAGTGAACATCTGTGAATAATTTCATCTGAAAATGTCCAGTCAACAACAACATCAGTGACGCAACAACGACATCAAACAAAGGAGGGGTCACTTGCAGTCAATATCGTGTGTGTCCACCGTGCGATGCAAGACATGCTCGCAGTCTTTGGGGCATTGAAAGACACACATTTCTCAGGAACAGCTGTTGGATGGTCTGCAGCCTCTGATGGTCTGTGGTCTGATCATGACACCCTCGAAAACGATCATGCTCAAGGACACAGTTTGGCGCAAGTCTTTCTCCTTTACGTCGATAAGTCTGTGGACGTCCATCTGCACAGGGTAAGTTAAACCTGGATTCATCTGACAAAATGACATCTGGCCATGTCCTAGGCCTGTTGCCAAGATTGGCCCCATTTGCTGCCCATCGCTGACTGGCAAGTCTGTGGCGATGCAAGAAGGTTGGACCACGGTACGGGTGACGACACCGGATGTTGAAGGCAGCAAGGCGTCCTTGCAGCTTTTGGGCGCTGAAATGACGTTGACTTGACCCAATTGTCCTCCTTGCCTCATCATCAGCTGTTTGGAACCGATTTCGCAAGTGTGAAACTCGGATATTGCGGTTTTGTTGAGCTGTTATCACAGGTGGTGCACCAGGTCGCGGACGATCAGTAACACTTCCGGTAGCCCGATCGTTGTCTGAGTCGACTTACAGTGGATGAATGCACATTAAAGTGCCTGGCAATCATCACATCTGAAGCACCTTGGCTGACCATACCGATAACCTGATTCCATTCGTCTTGTGTCAAGTGTGGCATTTTCTCAAAGTGATTGAGTTCCACAATTCCTTGTGCTTTTACAGGGCCCTGGTGCAAGTAATGCATGTGCACAACGTGTTTCATGAATGTGGTTGTGTTTACGAGAAATGTCACAGGTTCAGGTTTAAGTATCAAAGTTCATGTGAGAGGAATGCTCCGGGACTCGAACTCGAAATGGGCCAGAATAACAGCCTTTTATCCCTACATCCTCTGTATCGCAGGCAAAAATCTTCAATAGAACTTTTGTGAGTTTCAGGACAACAAATACCAATTATGTTTTTAATGGCTTACAGTATATAATATTCAACTCAATAAAGACGACAATCAGGATGAAAATTGTTTGAAAAATGCACATATCATCTGTGCATTTTTAAACAGTCAAATGTAGCTAGGGGCCATGCAGGTAGCATGTTAATGTAAACCCTATGGTCCCAGGTATCTACTTTCAGTTTCTGGCGATCAAGAGAGCATTTTTATTGTATTGTTGTGATAGATGTCAAATTGTAGCGATAAATGCTGGTGTTAACTTCTGTTGATGGACATTCTAGCTGGGTTACTGTCCTCCGTCGACATGTTTCTATGTTATAATGTAACTGCCTTTGTCGTGAATGTATAGCTTGTTTTAGTCATGATATGGCTAAATACTGCCGATTGGACTAAAACATATCTCATTTACCCACTCAAATAGTCTTTCAAATAGATGATAGAGTTACTATTTTGTATGTAACTCTATGTAAAAGTGCAAACTCGTGCTAAGGCATCAAAGCGGACGAAAACCCCGATAGACAGAATAGCAATAAAACTGTTGACAGTTCACTGTTCAAGCCATTCTTCACAGGGTTCAAGGCTGCTACTTTCAAGATTATCTCATCTGTCTTTTGGCATACACGTGTTTTTAGCGTGTTTTATTCCGCTTACCTGGACAAATGTATTTCTTGTAGTGCCAGTCAACTTCTTGTAGTATCCTGGCTTCAAGCCAACCCGTTCTTCTTTATAAAATGTCCTTGATCTCCTTATCTCCGAGCGCTGACTTTCTGCTTTTAGTACAGACGAAAATAATGTTTTCAGTACAAGTTCACAGGCAATATAAAACTTACGCAGTGCTTATAGAAATAAATACAGAATTGTTAATATTCACCTCACTGGAACAATGGTTAAGTTTCCCCAAATAGTCTGAGTACCCAGCGAAGGAATGATCTTCAAGCAAGTGCTGGTCTTCTTGTTACTTCAGAGTAAGTGAGGTAACATTTTAAGTCACATGGGCAGTATTTCAGTCATACCGTGACTAAAACAAGTCTTATATTCACCACAAATATATGTAAATTATGAAAAGTCTGTCAACGAAGGACAGTAAAACAACTAGTCTAGAATACCACAGTTATAGATTGCCAATGAAGGTAGAAAATACTAAAATATTTATAGGCCAGAAGACAATACTATACAAAACAGGCTGTAGATTGCCAAGGGTTGAAGGTAGATCACCATACTAGGGACTGTAACTGTAGATGCAATGTGAGATGAGAGGTAGGGACTGTAACTCTAGATGCAATGTGAGATGAGAAAACTACTATGACTACGAAACTACTCCAGAAGATGTGGAAGCCCATAGGGTTATAGTACTCGGTAGTACTTTCCAGAACTCTGTCTAAAAGTAGCACAAGACTAAATACAGCACACCGCACCTCACTGACCACAGATATGTACAATGTATTATTCTTGGAACATTGTTACACAGTGAATAACACTGCTACATACGTAACAAACGTAACTTTCTTAGCAAAGTTTACAAACTATGATGAGAGTGTGAACTTGACTCACGTCCTTAAGATTAGTCTGGGTTTCAAATATCTCAGTCTTTGGTCTGAGGTGTCAAACCTAACTGTTTTTGGAATTTGAGAAACAGCTTGACTTATTATGACATGCTCAGTGAAACCCGGATAAGTAAACCTCCAAAGGATCATTTTAAAAGTTGCTACTTATCCGTATTGCCACTTATCCATCCAAGCAAGTTATATCACATTTCCAAGTAAAGTAAATAGACATCGTATCCCCATTGTATCAAGACAACCTGCCCCGCTCATCGGGACCATTCATTAATTTATATGCAGATCAAAATAAAGAACATAAATATATAAATACAAATTTGATTCATTTTTAATATCAACATTCATCATTAAAAACCATTTTATATACATGTACATGTAATATCACCTGTTATGATTTCACGAATTTGAACAGCAAATCAACATCACACTGTCGTTTAACTATCGGGTTACACTAAAAGTTTCACGAAAATATCACACGGAAAATAAGTCAACTAAAACAGCAACAGCAACAGCAGTGTGGTAATTCTATTTCGTATAAAAACCCTACTCCACAATTTTATAAAAACTCAAGAGATGTGATCAATCGCGGCGCTCTGTTTGAACTTGCCCCTCTACTTAGATCCACTATATCCAGTGTATGGCACACTTGACATGGATTAGGATTAATTGTGACAATAACCAACATGCAGGAAGAGACTAATTAGTCGGCTCGTTAACAACCCATGTGGCTGATGCGAGGTGAGACACGTTAATTACTGCTGAGTGAATCCACAAGGACAGGTCCGATGTTGCCACTTATTCGATGAGGTCTAGGACAAATGCCACCCGGACAAAAGCCACCCGGACAAAAGCCGACTAGGACAAATGCCACCCAGACAAATGCCACCCAAATAAAATTAAAACCACCAACACAATATCATGTTTCCCAGATGTATTTGCATGATAATTCATTTTCATTTTCACACTTTCATTATTACTTTCATTCTCATCTTTTTTCATTTTTCATTCACACTTTTATTAATATTGCTTTCATACTCCTTCCTGCGATGAAACATATTCAACTTGGTTGTGCATATTGGAAGCGAAATGGTCAGTTTATTAGTTATTTGCTTTATTTAACGTCGCACGCACAACTAAGATATTTCGGCGACAGGGTAGTACACTTATTAAGAAATGAGGGGGAACAAAAAACAGAAATCTTGAAAGAGAGGTGTTACTACTCAACAAAACCCAAAACAACAACTGAGTATTAAAAACAAATTTGAATTAGGAAATTTGAGAATTAAAAATTAAAAAAAAAATTGAAATAGGTAAAGAGTAATAGAGATTTGGAATTTAATATAGATGTAGTGTAGTAAATGGTTATTGTTATTATTATTGTATTTTTTCAACCGACCCATGTTTAAAAACATATTTATTATGTGAATAATGATAAACATATAAAAGGTTAAAAAAAGGAAGTTGATAAAAAAGAGAGAACTCTTTTGAATTAATTTGGGATTTGTTAGAATGTGCTTGAGATCAGAAGAGTTAGCATTGTTGAGGTACTGTTTTAAAGCATTGGTAAATGGGGTTCTTTGTTTATTATATTTTGAGCAGTAAACGATAGTGTCGGCTATTGTTTCTGGAATTTGACAAGTGATACATTTGCCCTTTGGATGAAGGTTGATTTTGTGTAGATAGTGATTAAGATTGCAATTTGCTAGTCTTAGTCTGGTTATGGCAAAAATCAATTCGGCGTATTTGGTGATAATTTTTACATTTTTTATTTAGTGTTTGTTGAATTTGGTAGAGTGGCTAACGTTTTCCTATTATTTACCAGCTATAATTGAATTTATTTATTATTATAATGTTAACTTTATTTGTTAGGTATGTTTTGGAGTAAAGCATTTTATTTTGTTTTTTGAGTGGAGTGTTTGGTGATAATTTTTACATTTTGTATTTAGTGTTTGTTGCATATGGTAGAGTGGATAATGTTTACCTATTATTTGCCAGTTATAATTGAATTTATTTATCATTAGATACTACTTTAAAGTGTATAAAAGATAGTACATGTATATAT